AAAATGCTATTTATTTATTTGTGCCAGGAATTGAACTCAGCACCTTGCACTTGCCAGGCAGGAATGTATGCCATCGAAGTCCTCCTTTATACCACATCTAACACCATGAGCAGGCATCTGGAAAAAAAATCACCCAGGCTACATCTTGTTGCTCCTAGCCAATCTCAGTTTTCCATTCTGTGACAAGCCTACTTGCAAATGTGCAGAGGTCACCCAGATCTGAAAGTTACACCCAATACAACGTTACATTGGTTTCTTTCAATTTATTTCCTGTGATGTTTCCAAAGTAGTTTACAATGTATAAGACACATCTATGTCCACTCTTCACTTAAAAAAGGAGACAAGGTCTATGTAAATCTCTAACCCGGCTGACTCTCCAAGCCCCCAGCCTGCTTGCCAGCAGAAGTGTTACTCCCTGTAGAGAATTCAGCTCAGTAATTGAGGCTGTCCTCCATAAACACAGGAAAAAAGGTAAGATAAGACAAGGAAATTTGCAGGTCCTGGGGGACATCTGGAGACATCCAAAAATTTACAATGGGACCCTTCAAATGACAGTCCACTGAGATGCAAGACTGCCAAAAAACTTTAACCACAGAAGTTCACTGGGATCTTCCTGCCTACTGTCCCCTGCCTTCTCTCCACCCCTATAAAAATGAACACATTTCTCTTTGTTCGGGGCAGAAGGTCTTACCACGCTCTTTGCCTGAACCCAGGCACAGTAAGTTCCATGCCATGCTGCCTTTACACAAGCCTGGTGGTCTTTGCTGCATACATATGTTACAATCTAGATGCAGTTCAGAGTACTGTGCTTGTTTAGCAAGTGGAAGGCCCTGGGTTTCATCCTCACACTGCAAAAAATAAATTTTTTAAAAAGGTGAGCAAATGAGCTATGTTATACCAGTGACAAACTTATTTACACCGAATTTATATATGATTATATTTTGTGTAAAATTCTTGGGTATTTAATTTTTTTTGGTGCTGCTAGAGATGGAGCCAGAGTCCTTTGTGTGCTAGGCAAGTCTCTTTCTCTAAGCTATGGCCCCAGCCCAGTAGTTAATTATTTACACAAATTACCATCATTTGGAAACTTGTTCTGGTGGACACATTCTGTACTGATTGCATTTAAGAAACAGAAACAACATTTGTATAGCATATGAAAATACTTCTCTCTAGGATTCTAACTTTATTTTTGATGTAATTTAAGGGAAAATTTTTGAATTTACAGAGCAACCCATACGAAGGATGGTTCCCCAGGGAGCCACTTACACCCCTGCTCACCTGTCAGGGTGCTTGCTGGGCCTCAGTCCGGCCCAGGCCACAGATACAAGGCACCATCACTGAGTCTCCTGGTGGCTCCCAACATGCTCCATTCTTTCAACATGAATTGGTGATGGTTTGTCAAAATTAACTTGTTTTCTGCTTTCACTATAAAGTTAAATAATAATTTTCTGTAGGAATACACATAAAACTCTTCTGTGTAATTCACCACATCTATGGTTCATGTTCTCTCAGCATATTTTGTTTGGTTTTTCATTAGTGTGTATGTTCATAAACCGTAACAGTTACACTCACTTTAGGGAAGTGATATATATCTTGAGCATTTCCAATCCCTTTACCCACTCCCTTGTATTTTGATATTTATTGTGATGCAGTAAGTTGAGAGATTACCAAACAGTGCAGCTCACTGAAAACCAGTGGAATTCTACCAGTATTCACAAGCACATAGCTGTCCAGGTCCCTGCAAAGTGCCTTCTGCTCTGGACAAGGCCACTGTGTCCTCTCCTGCTAGATGGTCACTACTTCCGTAAAGCACAGTACATTGCTCTCTACTCTTCTTGTTGTGCCACAGCCCAAAGTACTCACACTCACTCTGGCTTTACATCCCTTAACTTCTGCAAATTGGAGGCAAGCCTGACTTCCTGCACCCTTTCTGCCCTGAGCTGGGTCTGTCCCCTCAACTGTTCCCATGTGCTCTTCTATGGGTGAGCAGGGAAAGGCTTCCTCATCTTTCTCCAGATCTGGAGGCATTTGGCACAAAATCTACCACCTTTGCCCCAAACCTGTGCACATGAGGGTCCCTCAGAACTGACTACCTGAGGGGATACCCTCTCTCCAGGCCCTGCCATCTGGACTATAAAATCTGCTTTATCCCGGCACCCCTTAGCTCTCTAATGGTAACTGCTCAGGTGCCACTGGCACACAGCTGCCATCATCTCCAGCACCTAGCACTAGCGGGTAGGTGTGTGTTGGAGTTTGACACAAGAGTAACAGGCATGCACAGCTCCCTGAGAGAACCTGCTGATGTGAACGTATTTCATTGTTTGTAGAACACAGTATTTCACAGACCAAGAAATCCAGACTTCCCAACTCAAACCTAAGGTATCCCTGTGCTAGAAGTTTTGTGACCTTTGTGAGTACAGCCAGGAAATCTACCACATCCAACTCCCCTCATGGGCACAAGGGGTCCTCCTGGTGGGTTTTAACCATGCATCGACTGCACTGATGCCTGCTGGTGGTGGGTTTTCATACAAGTCAGAAGACACCTATACCCTCTCATCCTCTCTGGGTCCTTTCACGAGACAGGTGAGGGTTTGCAGCAGTTTAGATTTTCCTGGTCTCGAGCAGGAAATCCAATGTTTAGGTAGAGTTCTGCATTTTTACTGTGATAAGATGTAGAAGCAGTTTATTATTTTAACCATTAAGTGTAAAGTTCTGCAGCATTCAGTCCATTCTGTTGCTATGCAACCATTACTGCCACCATCCAAGACCAGAATGTTTTCATCTCCCCAAGCTAAAGCTATGTCTTATGAGCATGGATTCATCCTACTGCCCCAGCTCCTTGCATCTACTCTTCCACTTTCTATCTATGGCCTGGACTCCTTTGGGCCCCTCATATGGTGAAATCACATAGCATACATTGTTTGGTAACAGGGTTATTTCATTAAGCACAAGGTCTTTCAAGTTTCATTCAGCTACAGCCACTGACCTGCTTGGCACATGTGACCCTGGTAGCCCTACAACCTTATATGCCGGAAGGGCCCTCTCACCAAACAGAAAGACATCTCTGAGTGTCTGTCTGGCACCCTCCCCATACTGGACATACAGTGGGTTCAGGGGCTTGTGCCTGGGCCCTAGTTCCCTGGGTTGCAGAGCAACCTGCTATTCCTGGGGACTGCAGACAAGCCATAGGCTGAGGGTGCTGTGCAGGGTCCCTGGGAAAGCCACCATCGGTGACTTACTATGGCTTCTACAGCCCATGTGCCAGCTCACTTGAGCTGGCAGGTAGGCAGAAGAGAGAGTACCAAGTGAGAAGCCCTGCAAAGTATGTCTCTCATCACCCAACATTGGATGCCAAAGCATTGCATGTGCCTGCTGTGACAAAGTAGCACCCAGTGTAGAGGTAAGGTGGAACAGAGATCCTCTCAGCAGGATCTTCCTGCCAAAAAAGGGAAGCAAGCCCTGAGGTCTGGCTTGGGTTTTAGTTTTGAAATGGGGATCTTACTTTGGTGTCCAGGCTGGTCTTGAACTCTGGGGCTCAAGTGACCCTCCCACTCCAATCTCTCCAGTAACTGGGATGACAGAAGCACAAAAATATCATGTGCACACGTGTGCTGGTGATTGAACTCCAGACCCAGTAAGTGTAAAGTTCTGCAGTGGTGGCAAAGCACACATTCCACCACTGCACTGAATCCTGGCCTGGACTTTTCCAAAACAGAAAACAGGCCAGGGATTCACTGTCTGCTTAAGTACCTTACAACAGCCAGGGCCTTAGGCAAGACCAGACCCTTTCCCAGGTGTCATGGAGGGAACTCCTACAAAGGTGTCAAAGTCACCTGAGCTGTAAGATTGAACTATGAGAATAACACACTGACTCTGAAGGCAAAGAAGCCACGGCATCAATACAAAATCCAATCACCCGGTTCAGAGTTTAAAATAGCATCCAAGTGCTCAAAAATCATAAGGACACCTTGCGTGTCTATTATACATGTGCACCTAACCATGTGCACACACTGTAATGAGATGCAATTTCACACTGGGTAGGAAGGTACGTTTCTCAATTCTTGCCAAAGACATGTCATGTTTGTGGAACTAGACATAAAGCTAATGAGATAGTACGCTGAGTTTCCAGGAAGGGCTTGGACCCAGATCCTGCAGTCACTCATGGGAGTCTGCTGCCACCAGTCCATAGCACCAGGCTTCCAATGGCCATGGCTTACACATCCAGGAATGGGGCCTGAACTGCATATGGAGGACATTTTCCACTTCTAGTGTTAGCTGTAAGTGGCTTTCAAAGGGCAAGATTTTCCCACAGGAGCAAAGGCAAGCTTCCAGTTACAGCAGATCACGCCCTAGGAACTCTGATCACAAGACATTGCCATGTAGAGTGGAAAAGTCTGGTGTTTCTAACTCAGTGGACATTCACAAAGTAGATATAAGCCCTGGTCATGATCTCTGCCTTCTGCACACAGTAGAGAATAAGTCTGACTTTCCCACAAGTAAGTCTGTAGCCACTGCCTGATAATTCCTAGATGCTGCTATGCTTGGTTTTTGCCAAGGAGGGGAACAGGCAGGTTACCTCACACTAATCCAGATCTCATTCATGGGTCAAACTCCAAGCCAGCAACAAAAGCTGTCCTTTCTCTGTTATCTGACATTCCTTTTCCACTGAGTATACTTCCTGAGCCAAGAGGGAAACAATAAGTAGAGAGAGAGGCTGGATTCTCAAGGGAAAAGAACTACGTACATGGGAACCAGCATGAGAGGGTGCCCACCGAAGCAAACTGACTCAGAGTTGCTGACTCTCCAGCAGGGACTACCTGGAGGGCTCCAGAGCCCTCTGATTCCAAGTCTTCCTGTTACAAGTGGCCATGCATTCTAATTTTGTCCCAACTCTTAAGTACCAGATTTGTCACCTGCTCCACAACTGCAGAAATGTGTAAATGGCAGGGTACCCTCACTAGCTATGAAGGGAGGTACTGGGGAACTTCTCAGGGTCCTACCTCTGCCTTCCAGACCGCTCCATGGTGCCCAGTCATGCATCACCTCCTCTATTCTCCAGAGCAGGGCTGCAGGTCCCGTCATCAAAAACCATTCTGGCACCAATAAAAATAAAACCAAAACAGGATTTTTGTTGCTACTCTGATTGCCTTGACTTGAATCCTAGAGCCTAGGACTGAAGTACACATTTATTTTTACAAGTATCTTCTAAAAGTTGAAGTTTAATAAATGGTATGGAAATTTAGTTCACAGTAACAGTGGCTCCTCAAATAGGTAAAGAAGCAGTAGTACTGATTGAAGGAGTGTTATTGTTTCTATCTAGATGGCCCCCCTAAAGTAGCATGTGCTCGCAGGTGGGGCTTTTGGAAGCTGATGGGATCATGGTCTGAGATACTGGATCATGAGTGTGTTACATTGAAATGTGTCCACGGATTGGCTTAGCATACTTCTGGGTATGGATGATGGATTTCCTGAAGAGGGAAAACCCACCCTAGGTATGGATAGCACCAACCAAAAGACTTGTTGCCTGGGTACAGAAGGAACAGGAACAACAGGAACAACAGAAAGAAGTTCTGTTCTTCCTGCCAGGAACTGTTTCTCCTCTGTCATGCTCACCAGCCATGCTGCCCTGCCTTGAAATCAGCTGACCTCTACAAACTGTGAGCTAAAATAAATGTTTCCCCCTTCAATTTGTGACCATCAGGTATTTTGTTCCTGTGATGAGAAAGTTCCTAAGACAAGGAGGGACACCCAGCAGCAGGAACATTCCTGGACATAGTCACCCAGGCTCACTGACAGGTGCAGACCAATAGGCAGCTCTTGAAGTTAAAAAGAGCAAACTTTATGCTCTGGCATGGAACCACCTCCATGATATGCCAGGGACGCTTTACAAGAGTCATTTTAGGGGACAGGATGAGATACAAAGACACCTGCCTGGCTTCTGCTCCATGTAGGAGTTAGGAGAAACAGGATGGGAGCCAAATAGCTAGGGGACAGGAAGAGACCTTGCTGTTCACCTGAGTGTAATTTATGAACTCTGAACTGGGGAAAAATGTTCTCAATTTAAGAAAACAGATCAACTGAAGCAGAAAGAACCCAAACTCAAGGCCAGCCTAGGTGAGATCCTTTCTCAAAAAAAAAAAAAAAAAAAGGCCTTGTGTTCTATCGCCAGTATGGTAGGGGGTCAAGTGGGATGGGGGGCGACAAATAGAAGGAAGAGAGGAAGAAACGGGAAAAAGGGAGGGAAGAGGGAAAAAAGGAAGAGAAGGAAGAAAAAAGAAAAAGGAAAGAAATCTTAAAAAAATTTCCCCTGCAAATGAAAATTTGGAAACTAAAGGCAAGGCTGCACTCAGCCTACTCATCTGACAGCACTGACCACACCCTCCCTGCATGCACAGGTGGCCCTTTGGTGCAACCATCTTGTTCCTGCATGGCCAGCCAGGTCCCAGGCGTACAGGAGCGGGAACAGGAGCCAGTCCTGCTAACGCCTGATCCTGCTTCCCCAAGTCATATTCACTTCTTCACTGTCATCAAGCCTCCTTCCTCGCAGGCCTAGAAAGCAGCCTGCCACACAGATGTCACCAGTCATCGGCTCCAACAGTCACAAGATAATACGCAGTGAGCAGAAAGGACTTCCTTGACTTGGGGGAACCTCAACAGTTTCTGTTTACAAGAGTCACTTTGAGGAACAGTGATAAACACAAACCCTAACCAGGCTCATCAAGCAGTGTTATCACTCATATTGCAAGAACAAAAGAACTGTCAGCTGTGAATAGCCCACCTAGGCACAAGAAGGTACAAATTTACTACCTTCAGGGACTTATTAGAGATGGACTTATCTTCTGCTTATCCTCAGCTCACTACTCTGGAATTGAGTACAACTCTCCTACTATCTTTAGTAGTGGCAGAGTCTAAGCTAAACCTCTTGGTGTTTTCTGGTTTTGAGTTTTTAATGAGAAAGTTTTTCCTGGGGAATTTATCTTTTGAATGAGAAAGAGCAGACTTGCTTCCACCCAAGTATCTAAAACACAAATTATAGCCAGGACTGTGGGTGCATGCCTATAATTTCAACACCCTGCAAGGCTGAGGCAGGAGGACTCCAAGTTTGAGCCTAGCATATAACAAGCCTCAGCCAATAACAAGTCCTTGTCTAAAAAAAAGTTAGAGAAGGGCTAGGGATGTAGCTCTCTGGAAAGACCTTGGTTCACTCTCTACCCCCAGCTCTAGCTGCAAGTCTTGTTACACACAGACTGGTGTGCAGGTTTATGAGAGCCGTACAGTGTTTCGTCTGTGGAGGGTACTGTGTCATCTCTTTAGGTCAGACTGCCATGGCCTGCTCATTTACTACGATTCTCCTAGTTCAGTCATCATTTCTGGAATCTCATGTGGAACAGACATATCGAGAACTCAGAAAAGATATTTTCCATATACTTTATTAATTATATACTTACTATCCTCAGTTACCTGAAATTAAACAAGTCTCATGTAACAAATACAGTAAGTCCCTAACTTATGAATGAGTTCCCTTCCAGGAGAACATTCATTCATAAGTAGGATTCATTCATGATCTGACAAAGTGTGAAAGTGCACAACTCAAATGTTCATAAATTGGGGACTTACGATATTCAAAATCAGTGATGAAGTATGCTGAAAGTTGTATGGGACTGAGATTCATAACCTATAAAATGTCAAAATTCCAAGAAATTGTGCCTGTCAGTCCAAAGTCAAAATACGTATAACCTACAACCAAGAAAATGTGGTTCTCAGATCTATCTACTGGGTCAACTCACTCAACAGTCACTAGAGGTACTGGATTTTGTGTCTGTCCCCATAACCATAAGAGGTAGCCTAGAACTGACGGACGAGCCTGATTCTAGCCACCTTAGCTTGATTACACAATGGTTTGAGCATGACTGGGTGCAAGTTCTAACACATCGATGGGACAAAATAAATGTTAGGTGACCCTGATCACAATCCAACTCTCCTTGCAGGGGCTAGCTACAAAGGCAACCTTTCAGTCCGTGGACATTCTGAAGTCCCTCCCTCTGACCTTGTCCCCCCTCCTGGGAGAAGCTGGGGTCTCCATCTTCCAGGGGGGCTGTTTCTTTCCCTTCTGCTAAAGTAGTATCCGTGGATCTAGTTAATTGTCTCTGTCTCCTCTACCAGGCTAAGGCATAATTGAACAGACATGCTGTCCTGTCCATCTCAGTGTCCTAGCATGGGGATACCCAAGGAACAAAATCACTATGACAAGAAAGCACACAGAATGACCTACACGTGATCATATTCCACAGTCCCCCTCCAGCCTTGCAGGGGACCTTGATCTTGTCAGTGCTTATGTCCAAAGCCTTGGACAAGTTCTTCTCAGAATAAGTGCTTTGTGGGACAAGTAAATGAAATGTACAGGAGTCTACAGAAAAAAGCAGGCTGAAACATGACATTGGAAGTGCTAAAGCATCTTGAGTAGTCTCCACCAACCTGTCTGCTGACAGATTTGGACAGGGCAGGAACTAGAGACCTGAGACAGGAACTGACACCCCCTGGGGCTACTGCCCTGGACTTTAGAACCATTACTTCACTATTCGCATGTGATGTAGCAAGACAATTTTATCTGTGGCAAGAAACGTCTCTACAACAACCAAAATCAATTCTTAAAATATTTCACCTTGTCTATGTGGAGCTCTAGAACAAAAGTGAAGCTCTAAAATTGCTTAGCCCCTTTACCTAGACTATACGGTTAAGGAGTTGTAAAGTTACAGGTTTTAAAACTTCCTGGACCACAGGGAAGGCTAAACCTTCTGATAAAACTTCTGATCCCACAGTCACTCCCCAGTGACAGTCAAGAAGGTCATCAGCACTATCACAAGGCTGGGCTCCATTGTGCCAATGGGTCTTAATATAGCTATTGATGCCCAGAATGTCCTCATGCCCAACCACCCCTCTTGCCTAAACCTGTGACTAGATATCAACAACAGCAGACCATACATTCCCTGACTGGGCTTAACAGAAAATGAAGAAACTGTCAGAACAGGTTAAAGAAGAGGACCAAGGCTCTTAAGGACACTTGGGTCTAGCATCTGCAGCATGGTCAGCGCCATGCTGGACACAGTGACCTGTATAGCACTTACCAATCTGCAACAGAACGGGTGTGACCAATGCTGTTTCCATGGCGTAACAGAACTCCCTGCCAAACATCACGGCCCCATGCATCACCCACAGGCGCATGGGGATCCGGTCTATGGACCCCTCACTGATGGTTTCATCATGGTTCTCCGTCTCCAGGTCTCCAGATTTCTGTGGGTCCGACACGGGCACAGGTAACTCTTGTACTTGCATAGATTCCGAGTCAGCATTCTGCGGAGCCATTTTCATTACCACCAAATATATATATAATATATATATAATATATATATATTATATAAATAATACTATCATTTCTCTTTAATGATAAATTAAGACGTCTTGTTCTGTTCCAGGTGCATTCCTTGGGCAGGCAACACTTATATTCCTCTTTGTATAAATGGGTGTCTCGGCGTCTCCCAAATGCAAGAGACACGCAGCAAACGAAGGGTTTTTGGTTGGACTGTAAACATATGGCTTGCTGGTTCACTGCAAGTTAGAGTTAAAAATCCATAAATGCCACTCAGTTAATACCAGTTTCATCATCATTACTGAAGAAGCGCTGCAATCACTCCTCTTGCTACTGAGAGGTGGGAAGGTAACAAACACAGGTAGTCCTCTGTGAATCCCCATCGAGTGACTGGAGGATCTGCAAAAGATGGAAGACACCCAGACAGAGTCAGGGGGAGGTCCTCACAGCCTGCTACAAGCCGGCTGCCCACTGCTAGAACCTGTGTGTCCCAGGGGCTGTCCTTGCCATGGAGGATCCTCTCTAGGCCTGCTCCACCCCAGCTCTCTGGGAGTGTTTGTGCAATGGACACTTGACCACTAGAGGAATGCCATTTGCTTGTGGGGGATTCAATCCTAGGCGGACAAAGGTGGCATAACCAAGAAAGATGGTATAAGACAAGGAGTTGTAAAGAAGCCAACAGTGTTTTTGCCCTTTTGTCAAGGATAACACGATCACCTCTGCATCCTGTGGGGCACAAATACTCCTGTGTGCATCCTTCCTGAGCCACTAATATTATGATGGGGGGTTTGGGGGAGGTAGCTGAAAAATCACCACAGAGTAACTCTCTGGGCAGTGGTATCCGTGGATCTAGTTAATTGTCTCTGTCTCCTCTACCAGGCTAAGGCATAGTTGAACAGACATGGTGTCCTGTCTGGAAAAGTGACAAAGAAAGATGAATGATGACAGCTGGTTGGAGAGCAAAGACCCAGCGTTGGCCGTAGTAGTTCCATGTCTGTACTAGGGCTTGGGTCCTTGCTATCAGCCATCTTGGGCAATGATCCTGGAACCATTTAGCTTATAAAACCTTCTGACAACAAATGAAAGTTATAGATCCCTTTCTCAAAAAATATGTACACATGGGCCAAACTGCCTATAACATGTAGGGGTACAGAGACTCCCAGACCATATGTCACATTCTTAGGGGAACCTCTGCAGCCCTAGTACTAAAGTACCCTCCGTGCCTATTCCTATGATTGGCTTGTGACATGGTCAACCTGGATGAATACACCAGTACAGTGTAGACTGCTGAGAAAAAACTGGAAATGTGGTCTTAGAAAGTCTCCAGGAAGGAAAGGCCAGTCATCCACCTGGACGTTAAGACCTTCGTGAGGTGGGTTCCAGATAAGCAGTCTCGCCTGAAGTGCTGTAAAAAGAAGAGCCCTGAAGTCATGCAAAACACCGTTAACATTTTATGTTAAAAGCAGGTCTGTAGGCTAATACTTTATTGAGAAGCTTCTTTTGATAAAAACATAAATCTAGTAATATCCATTTAACCAAAGATGAGTTTTGATTAATTCCATCCTCCTTTCTGGGGTTGGGGTAGAAACTTCAAGGTTCTATCTCCACTTAAGTCCCAGGAGGGCAGGGCTTGGGCAACTCAGTGAGGGTTGCTCCTCTCAGAGAACCTGCTCTTCCTATATTCCCTCTGTTGCTGCAGCTGAAACATGAAAGGGAAGGTCCAATGAAAGGTTCTAGAAATCTAGGCAACACACTTATTTTCACATTCTCCAAACTTCACTGCAGCCCTCATTTGAAAATCCTTTCAAATTCACCAAAGATCTTTTACCAGCTATAGCAGTGTTCCCAAATCATCACCTGCCTGCAATCTTCTTTCCAAAAACTTTATTATGGAACCATTTCCAATATATACCCAGTAAGCAGTAGAGTATAATCAATCACTCAGTTTTGGCATAAATACTCTGCTATTCCTGACCTATGTTTACCATTTCAGAATCATTCTGATCATAAGAGAAAACTGGCATAATTGTCCTTTTTGCAAACTTCCAGTATTACATCAAAATAAGGTCTCTGACTTAACTGCCTTTTTCTACCAGATAGGAGGGATCCATCTCCAGAGAAGAAAGTATATCCACACAGTGTCTGTGTCAGCTGCCTAAACTAGCTGTGCTTTGTCATTAGCTTTCTGAGAAATTCTAACAACTTAATTACAAACATCAAACACCTCTAGCTCAGTCGGCCCCTTGTCCCACAGCTGTTTCCATCCTAGGAGACTTGTGCCTGAAATGAAGCGGTCTCTGTGCCCAAATCATTTCAGCAACAGCTAGAAGTTAGGCAGTACACCTCTGCAGTCAGTGTATGTGAACTACTCTAAGGCAGTGGTTCTCAAGGGGCTGCTCCTGGCCTGGGATGCGAATCAGCGCCTTGGAGCACACAGCTCCACAGCTTAGAATGCTCCCAGCTCCAGATCTCAAGAGTTCCAGACTGAGAAACTCTCTTCTGAGGTTATTAAAGAAAAGCTGTTTCTTTAAAAATACTTGAACCCATCAAGTGGACAGATGTGGCAAGCTTTCCTGTAAAGTTTAGGTGGTAAGTACCATAGGCTATGAGGCCACATACCGTCTCTGTTGCATATTCTGTTCGTTTTTATTTTTGACAACCCCTTAAAAATGTAAAGAAAACCACTCTCAGCCTACTTGTCTGTCCAGTAAGTTCAGATCTCAAACCTGTGACAGTTGCTGATTTCCATCCTAGATAAGGATCAATGGAATGGTTTTCCTCATGACATTTTTGGGGGCAGGGGAGACAGCTGAGAGGAGTGGCTGCTGAGCTTCCGCATCCACCCAACTTTACTGCTGCTATTCTGTGTAAAATGCCTTAGCTGGCACACAGCACTGGGCGGCAGGTGCCATCAGGCCACACTGGCTGAGAGGTGACTTCCAAGGCCAGTGGCAGGAGGGAATGCTGAGGCCATACCCTTGTAGCCAGCTCTACCTCTCCCTGAGCCACAGAAAGTTGACTGGGCAGAGATCTGAGTAAGAATTGCTGGGAACCAGTAAACTATCACAGCCTCAATCACAGACCTCTAGTGACAGCTGCTACCAGGTCAGCTGAAGATGTGTTTATTTTACCTGAGAACACTAAGGCAGTTCACAAAATTCAAGCACAGAGGCCACGCCAGAGTATGCTGGTGGAAGTCCCCAGTGAGTCCACTGCAGCCAAAGCCAGTCACTGTGTCAGTTCCTCTGACATGTTTGGGGTCTCTCTACCTGATTTCTAAGAACTAGTTGAAAACTGGCCATTCTGTGAGAAGGTCAGGAGAAAGATAAACACCTGGACATGAAAGCTGTTCAGTCCTTGACTAAGAGCATGTTAGGCTGGCTACCTTCACCAAGGTCAGGGTCAGGCAAGTATGATGAGCTCTGTGGGTTCAAACCAAAGGAGACCACAACACGTCAGTCCTGTGTGTGCATGGGTCTTCTAACAAGGGTTTATAGCCATCATTCTCTTAGTGTATGCAAACTGTTCTCTTAAAGAAAGATGATTTATATGAAACCATATCAATGATATCAAATCACCAAAACAATTCTGAAGGATACAGTTCAAGCACTGCAACACACGGGCACAACACAAGAAGGAACAGACAACTCCTGCCCAAGGAACAGGTAACTCTGGAATCCCAGGAGCCTCCTCCAGGCTGCTCAGAAAGTGGACAAGTTCAGAGCAAGCTGTGACCTCTTCTGCAATCTTCTATTCAAGAGCAGTGAAATGGTCAAGGCAGGTTTTTCCCATCACAGAACAAGCATTTCCCTTGGAACCTGCTCCAGGGATTGTTGAGCATTCAGTGACAACAATTTTGTTATGATCTGCAGATGCACTCCAACAAGTGAAACGACAATTGTTCCAATCAACAACTTCCTCTATTGTCCTGTTTCTAATTTAAGGGTGAGTGATGCCAAACACGTGACTTCCCACAATTTGTTGTGTGGAAAAGCTGGCTGTGAACTTGATCTCATCAAAAAGTTAACTAGATGGTAATTTTTGACAAGCACCCTAAGCTTGGCTTAAAATTTCAGGCTAAGCTAATTGTCATAAGTTTTGACAGCACAGTAATATGAAATTCAGTAACCCACGCAACTGGAAAGGGGCCCAGCAAGGGCTGATGTGGGCTGCACCATGACTACCACAGTCATGTACACATATGTGTATATTAAAAGGGGTTATACACTCTGAGGGTAGCAAATGCTTCAGAGTGATTGGCTCACTGAACAGCTGTTTGTCATATCCACCATTTAAAACAGGCACCAACTGGGAAAACCCACACTCAAAAATCCCATCAGTATGACAGATGCTGAATTTACTATGTAATTACGTCCTAATCAAGCCATCACAGTTGAAACTATCCTATGCGAAAAATGAGTGGACTCCACTCACCCAACCACATGCCTAGGCTCAGTCACACAGGAGCCTGTAATGTGGGGCTGTTCCTGTGTGAAAATTGGGCTACCCTGCCCAGCACATAGAAAGCAGCTTACCAATGTCTTTAGTATAAGTAAAGATCAAAAGTCAGAAGTTCAAAGCACAGTTTCTACTGAATGCCTACCACTTTTGTATCATCATAAAATCAACAGATCACTAAGGTGGACCACTAAATTGAACAGCTATACTAACACTTTACTAAGACATTAGCTGTTAACCTCAGATGCCCTGTATCTCATTAACTCCATTTTATCTGTCCTCACCAGCATCTCTTTCCAGATGGGTGTGGGTAAGAACATCTCATGGGTAACACAGAAGCCAGCAAAACCACACAAATGGTAGCCCAGATTAAGAAAAACTGCATTTGAACAAAAAGCATAATAAAGAAATGCAAAATCAAATCAAGCAAATTCAAAGTACCCTTGGTAAGAATTAAATGTAGCATTCTGGCAGATTATATATTTCTTGAAACACATTTAATAAATTCCACTGACTTTCAATATAAAAATCAATGTATTATGAGAATGAGAGGACAAGTCACAGATCAGGAGAAAATATTTGCAAAAGACACATCTAATAAGGGTTATTATCCAAAATATGCAGAGAACTCTTAAAGCAGTAAGAAAACAACTTGATGAGAAACAGGTCAAAGATTTTAACAGGCACTTCACAAAAGATATACAGATATGAAAGATGTGTAAGTAAGCATATGAAAAGATGATCTATATCCTATGTCATCAGGGAATGGCCAATTAAAACACAAGATGCCACTACACACCTGTTGGAATGGCCAAAATGCAGTGTGAGTGCCTCACCAAGGACCGGCCAGGACAGAGAGCAACAGAAACGCTGACACTGCTGGGAATGCAAAATGGGACAACCATGCTGCGACACAGTTTGATTTTTTTAAAAACTAAATA